GTATTTGGCAATAGTATTAGTTAAATTTCTGAGCAGTGTTGGCCTAGTGGCTTTAGCGTGCGACTCTCATATCTGAGGTCGTAGGTTCGATCCCCGGCTGTGCACCAATGGACTTTCTTTCAATGTGCGCATTTAACATTTGCTCGAACGGTAAAGGAAAACATCGTACCGGAACAGGAAACCGACATGTCTTAGACGCAAAAAAGTCGACGGTGTGTGTCAGGCACTGGAGGCTCCTCACCCACTTGCCCATTAGATTGACCGAACAGATTCAGTCATCTGAGGCCAAGACCTAAAGAGGTTGTAGCGCCACTGATTTATTTTTATTAGTTTAATTTTGGTAAAATCATTGACAAATTTGCTAGTATGAATTTTGCAACCCCTGCATGCAATTTTAAAGTTTCAGGGTATCATTTTCGCGTCGCCCATGCGTAACACGTTAAGCAAATTTAAAGCCGTTAGATTTAAGCCAGGTTTCAAATTACAAACGAGTACTTGCTTAATACGCAGCGACTGGAGACATTCTATAGCTTGCAAAACGATCCGAGGAAAGGTATTATTGGGGACGAAAGCCGACACCGCCTTGTGGCTACCAATAGTCTTTTTTATTATAAGCATAATTAGCAACACATGACATTTTCGCGTGCATCGATATTGGTGGTTTATATTAAAATTGTTCACGATCTATCAACTAGGTAATCCGCAAGACGGAAATACCCAACTATGTATTACTTAATATTTGTTTAAGAGCTAAAAGCTCATATGTATGTTTGGGTAGTAGACACATAACCAAATGGACTCTTTTTATTCTCTTTTCTACTTTAAAAACTAAATTATTAAGACTAAAATCTTAATATGACGTAACTACTTGACTACTTTATAATTTATGAATTGATCTATTTTTTCCCATCTTCGGGCTTGTTATGTTTGCCGATATGTACTTGTCACATTCAATCTTGTTTTTTGTTTTGATTAAGTAACAATGTACCAGTTGGCCGAGTTTTGCAAGCTTTTGTAAAAATAAAAATTTATTTAAGCATCGGTAATGTAAACTAAAAAATTTACTACAGTTATATATACATATATATTATATACCTATATAAGGCACGAATGAAATAATTATTTAAATTGTCACAGGCATATCTTACATAGATAATTGTCGTCGAAAAAGGGAAAAATTGTTTCATTTCCTCCTGCATATATAAAGGTTGAACACATTTGCAGTAAAATCGTCAAAAGAACTAGGTCTTTGGGTTTGATGAACCAAAGCTTAGTACGTTAATTATGAAAACTCACAACCACTTTAATCAAAATATATTCATGTTCTTGCCACTGGGGATTACTATGAATAGTAGTTTAATGGTACTAAATAAAATTACGTATTTTACATGAATGTCCATGTTAGGTATTTAATATGTGGAATCTCATGCAATAGATTTATGCGTCTCATACTCTTGTAAACAGACAGAAGATTCTGGTTCTTATTATAATCAAAAATTCCAAAGGAGGTTAACAATTCGAAATATAAACTTTTTTGTTATCCACGCATAGCTCTTCCGTCGACCTATATTGCATCAGAGTCCTAAATCTTCATTAGGTATAGGATCTTCATTTAAATTTAACTAATCAATATCCAATTGATTTAAATACCCTTAACAAAAAATCGTTTCAGTTTCAGTACTAAGAAAATGCCAATGACAGATTTGAAATGAAAACAACAGTTATAATCTGTAATTTGTAATCTATTTATTCTATGTAATCTGTTTTTCCACTGTTTACGTCTAAGTGTTTTCTTTTATAATATGTATATATGTAAGATTACTTATAAATAAATAAATAACGACTTTTACAACAACAGTAATACACAAATTCAAATAAATCTTTTAAGGGTAACCCGCCCGTATACATTAACCAATTACCTAATTATGATAGACGACATCCACAAGGACGAGATTTATAGGATTATTACTAAGTGACATGTGCACTTTCTTGCTATCATTGCTTTAAAAGATTTGAGTGGTTAGTTCACTAGATTCTGTTATGTCGTAAGGATTGATTTAATGTTTGGGTGAGAACTGAGAATAGAGAGACCTAGTTGTAGATTCTTTGTATTTAAGATTATTATATAAAAATCATATATTTTAGAGCAGCTATGTCGGGCTTCAAGCCCGGCTATGCAGCAAGTCTTTTTGTCTATGGGCACTTAACACTTGCTCCTATAGTAAAGGAAAACTTCGTGAGGAAACCGCTACGCAATAGACCGAAAAGTCAACGTCTATTAGAAAAAACAAATATGATCACGACACAGATAAAGAAATCTGAAGCCAAGACTTAAAAGGTTTTTATATATTTAAGTCTCCAAATAATAACTTTTTATCTTCACTATACTACAATTAGTAAGATATTTAGAAATTTATCGCATTTCGGCTTTTATCAACATATATACTCCAAAACGAACGAATTCAAATCGAATTACATTTACATACACAAATATATAAATTTTGAAGAATTATGAAGGCTTTAAAGTATTAGGTAGTCGTTATAATATGAAATATTCATAAACTGGGGCACAACTTTCGCTGTCAGGTCTCACACCTAGCCTCCCAAGTCGGACTAATTTACCTGTCAGCTTCTATAATTTATGTAGCTTATAAGGCTTTTTCCTATCTATATAACAGGTCATTGATGTAAAAACCTAATGCAAATAAAGTATCTTCTATCTTTGAATAAATTGTAATACGCCGACGTATCACTAACTAAACCATGCTTTTTTATCTTTCGTTTTATTCTATCAAATGTTGTAAAAAAATAAAATGAATCAGTGGCGCTACAACCTTATCCGGTCTGGGCCTCAAATTTCTGTATCTGTTTCATGATCATTGGTCAATCTAATAGGTAAGGTCAGCCTCCTGTGCCTGACACACGCTGTCGACTTTTTGGTCCTAAGGCCAGCCGGTTTCCTCACGATGTTTTCCGTTCGAGCGAATGCGCACATAGAAAGACAGTCCATTGGTGCCAAGGATTGAACCATGGGTATTTTTTGAAAAGACGTCAATTTCCTCACGGTTTTATACCTTCACAGTTGCAAAGCCATGGTATAAAAATTTGATTAATTCTGTCTGACACTATGTTTACGCGAGAGACGGTCTATTTACTAATACTAATAATCTGAAATTGTTACTTTAAAGATGACCTCTTAATTCTTATCGGAAAAAATAATAATCCGCAAACGACTTCTCTTTTTTTAATTACGATATCTTTATCGGTCAATAAACTTAATGTCTACAAGTTGACTTTTAATGCCACTTAATAAAGATAATAAAATACAGCACATGCTAATATCCCTTTCTACTAAAGCAAACTTTCTACATCTTTACCTTAGGAATGTCATGGGTCAAGTAATTGAAAAGACTATATGTGATATGTCAGGCACACCTGGACAAAGATAACAGGCCATTTAATACCTGCTAATAGTAAATGAACAGGACAGCATAATGTGACAAGCAACAAGTCACAACTGTAAGGCTATCAGGTGAAAGGTTGCGTAATGAATCGTGGTGTTTACATTCCCAAGACAGTCGCTTGAATATTTCTTTTAACTGAACCATCTGTTATATCTCAATCCCTCTCAAAGTATACGTACTTGTATATAAGACTCTTGAGTATATACCATTTAATCTAAATATAAATTGAGATGTTTTTTCGTGGCTGAGAAGGTGAAATGCGTTAATTACATTTTTAAATAATACCTTAGATTGTTACTTGAATTCGGACGAAATATATAACATTTCAGCACAACATTATAGCTCAATCAGTACGTCTGATTGCCTATAAAAATAAGAATTTCTAATAGCTTTTAAGTGTAAGACACGTAGACAGCGCGCCGGGTCCGCATTATTGGATGTTCTTGAAATTATCTCGAGTCGAGACGTTTTTATGGTCCACATTGGAATCTGGATATTTTTTCCCATTGCGGGCCGTTCGAACGCCCAAACAGGTTTTTAGATAGCGCTCAGTAATGCATCAACTTGGTACGTTTTTGTATGGCGGCACGCTCAAGGAGTAATGAGTAACGTACATTTTATCCGAGGAACATTAGATGAGTTTTATGTAGGTATAATTTAATACCGCCGCTGTGAGGTGGGCCGTAACAAGTAACACTCGCTTACAGAAGGCAATATATAAGCTGTTTTAATGTCCTCTTACGAATGTTATCAGAGATGAGACCGACGTAATCTCATACATGGTGTTTGGACCATGCACCTTTCTTGATAGCCCAGAAGAAATGCATTTACGCAACCGTGTACCACCATAGGGTACATAGGTATTTAGGACCCAAGTTACAAGTTACACATGTTGACTAAGAATTTGCAGAAAGAATTTAGGTAAATGTATGTTAATCTTGCGATCATTTGCCAAGTTTAACTAACCAGTTGCTTTGCCAGGATCTTATAGTGTTTATTAGGTGATCTTATAGTGTTACATGCAAAACAAATATTTTTTTTTACAATTTTAAGCTTTCAACAAAATTATAGTAGAGCTGGCGAATCGATGGTCACGTATAACGTAAGTATAAGCCAACTTTTCCTTTAGCTTGCCAAATCCACCCTAGACTAGACGGTTGCGGTCTCCGCGGAAGCCTTAAATAAAAAGACAGAAAGCCTACAACGGCTCTTGTATTTACACTGCTACTACATTTCATTCAAAAACGCGGCGTAAATAAAATCTTAGGGTGAAATTTACTAGTGACTTGGCGCGAATTATGACTCACGTATGTCCAACACGTTGCGATGTCGTTTTTCTGATCTTAACCTTAGAAATTAATCGATGTTTGTCACCTTATAAAGTGTGTTATGTAAAACATATTCTAAACAAGTGAGTGCATAATGTCTAAATCTACTTAGCTTACTTTTTATACTTCGTAGGTAATGAACATTGAGGTCACTACGCGGTGTAACGATACCAATGTTTACGAAGCAAACAATTAGCTTAACAGTTCTTTAAACACTAACAAGTTGCAATTTAAACAGATACTTACGGACTGGCACTTTCTTCGGATCATATTTCTCGACTAGCTCATTGATTGTCACGATTTTTGCTTGGGCAGCTTTTGATCGCTCTTTAATGGCCTCCAGTTGCCCTGTCAGCTCACTGAATATGTCCTCGGCCAGAAGCACGAGGGACGCGAGTTGACGGAGAGCATTACTCAGAGTACAGTTAGTCACAGCCTGGAGTTCCTCATCCGTGACTTTCTGTTTCCCGTTTTCGTCCCGTAAACTAGTTCTCGAAAGAAACTTCGGTTCAACTACTCGCTCCACGAAAGGCATTTCGGTAGAAATATACTAACAAATCCATCCACTTATTCACCCATTCCCGCGCCGTGAATTAAACTTAATTCCGCCATCCATTCAACACACTTCACAAAAAACATCAGGTAACCGCCACTTTAAATTAACCGACATCCTGACCGGTGGGCTTTCACTTTAAAGACATATATTATCAATTGTACACAGTTTTAGTAAGAATTGTAATTATTGCGAACACATTTAATTTCATTAGCAGAATTTGTAAAGTTTGTCTAAAACTTTTCATATTGTCGAAATCCCGCCATCGCGAGCGACACGCAATACGCAACTTCGTACAACGACTGCGCGAAGCAGAATGAAAAAATTCAAGCCGAAAGCGTTAAGCGCTTAGCACTAGGGGAGTGCCACTTAGCGTTAGCCGCTTATGCCTAGCACCTTGGTCATGCCTGTTGGTTTAATAGTTCATTCATTTCCAGTATTGTTACGAATATATATCTAAATAAACTGTTCGGCAAGTTGGGGTTTCGGAGTCAGTGTCATCGATAGTTTTTTTAAGCAAGCACGTACCTACTATTTAGCCCCTATGAACTATGAAGTATTTAATAGCTTAGCAAGCTGTAAGCTTATGAGCTCTATATTGTTCGCCGGGACCCGAACCCGAAATGAATTCGATACGTTAACCATTCATCCTCCCTGGTCGGTATTTCTTTAGCCATTGCTGCATTAGGCGGTTTTTATTAAATTTTATAAACATAGGGATAAGTAAAAATAGTCGTTAAAGCAAAATGAAAACATTAGAATTGTTAACAAAATTGTTGACGCTAGATGTCATCAGGTAACAAATGTGATTCAATACTATAGTTACACCTTATATTATAAACATCCACCAGATGGCGCTGTTATCATTACACCAAGCGTAAAAGACTAGAAATCTAAATAAATTTATTTTATTTATAACTCTGAGAAACATAAAATATGAGAAAATTAAAATAATAAGTATATGAAACACATTATTAAGTTACAATACCAAAATACATGAGAAAATATGTTGTGATTTGCCCAATTCATTGTAAAAAGCAGGTGTAAAAACAATTATATTAAAGTCGTAGGAAAGATATTAATTTATGAAAGCCGCTAACCCAGAAGAAATACTGTTTGACATTATGTCAAATAGTCATAAATTGTGGTCATAATTGTCACTGAGTTAACGCTTGAGAGTTGACTGTTGAGACTTGAGTGAAACATTTGTCATTTTCTAATCTTGAACTTGTATTTTGTATCTTGTGTTTACTATTTTATTATTATTTTTTTAATAAACAGCTATACGTTAATTTGAATTCTATTCGGATTTCCGATTCAGTATTGATTGAGCAATAAATAACTGTGATAAGTGATTAATTCCGATCAATTATAACTTTAATCGTCGTTTAGTTGTTATTTTTAAAAAAGTTTTAAAATATTACATGCAATTATAAAATATAACTAGAAAACACCCAAATCGTTTCATGCTATTGAAAAGCTAATAGAAAATTGTTTGCCACGACTTGTTGACGAAGGCGGGGGATGGCAGGTGTGAGTTTACTCATCCAGGTAGGCGCTAATTGAGTGACTTGCAGCATTAGTTGGAGTATCAGAAACAACCATTTTGAACATCCTACATCAACGTCTGTGAACGTTAAAAACTCGAGCGGGTAGAAAGTTGTCGTGAGTCTTTGGACCGCTGTGGAGAGCAAAGGGAAGAAGTTATGACCCAAATTGTTACTGGTAATAAAACTTGGGTTCACCATTATGTACCTGGGTCAAAGCAAGAGTCGATTCAGTGGCAAAAAAAAGGCACACTCCCTCCTAAGAAGTACAAGGTGTTTCAATCGGCCGGCTCGTAACTGTACCAGGTTTTCTTTAACTGATGAATCAACTGATTGCAACAAACATGGTGAAATATGTGATAGGGCAACAAAGATACATTGCAATATTTATCTTGGCTGAAATATAATGGTATGAACACAGTCAATGGCTCATGAATAATTTTATGGGCACTGATTTTATAAATAAATGCTTCTGGATGCTGCAATGACATAATTAATATTATAATTAAAATGTGAGTCTCACTGACATATGTAATTGTGTTAAACATTAATTACTTTAGTAGATTTAAAGAGGATTAAAATCTATTAAGAACTGTTTCTGTTCAAATACACTACAGCATATGATATTTATTAGAAAACTAATAAATGAAGTTGAATCTATTTGTTCATTTAATATCATATAATACATCACCTCATCAATGGCATTGATATAAATTTTAACTAAAATTAAGTATTACAATTAACTAACATACCTATATTTCAGAGTACCAAAATGTAAAATAGTAATGGAAAGTTTAAGAAATAAAGTTATTATGAGTTTAGGCATCTATCAATATAGGCTGGTACCAAAAAGCACCTATTTTGGTGCCTAAAGTACTCCTTGAACAATTACAAGACAGATTTCTAGCGCTTTGCATCTGCAGCCTTTATACTACTGGAACAAATGGTGAGTAGTGACTCATATCATTGTTACCATTAATGTGCTTTGGAAATTAATTAAAAAACATTTCCCTGTAATGTATTTTCTTAACGCATGATTAAGTGCCTTCACAGCTCAATAAAATATGAATAATAAAAATATGTTAATTTTTGTTATTATTATTTTATTTTTTTTAATTTATGTAATGCTACAAATGTAATTTTTTTTTTGTATCTCACACACTGTTTTGTTGTGTTTTTTTTAATATTTTTATTACTCTTTAATGTTAATATTCTAAGGTTTCGATATTTGTAAATATGTGAGGAACATGTATACTAACTTTTTTAGTATAGTAGTTTATTCTAAGAGTACATTGTCTTCACATATAATTATTTAACAAATGTAACAAAATATTGTAAACCTATTTTAAAAGGAGTAAGTGTGGAGTTTCTTGCCCATTCTTCTCCACACGAAACTACCTTTTGGAAGGGGCAACTAGAATCATCTTTATATTTTTTTTTTTTTGACGTTCAAAAGTGCCATTTTAGATGGTCTAATTGAAATAAACGATTTGACTTTGACTTTGAATAAGCTTCTATAGGTGAACCGTGAAGGTGAACTGGTGCTCTTAAAGAAAAAAATTATCTATATTTTTACTTACAGTATTTAAAAAAAACTACAGCACTGGGATATTTGATATTGTAGCACAAGTTTTGTAAACCTTTGGTACAAACTATAAACAGTAATGATCCAAAGTTATGATCTCCAAATCTCAAATATCTTTAGAAAGTTAGATTATACAACTGATCAATTGGTACCCTTTTTATGTAAATACTGAATTCAAAAAACAAATTTTGATAACTTTGTAGATTTTGTATTCAATAGTAAAGAAAAGGAAACAATTAAATTAAAGTATTGTGTTCCATATTCATTGCACTCTCTTTGGCCCGCATAAGCAATACCTGTACCCCTCTGACGCTATTATAAAAGGAAGCGGACAACAGATACCAACAGCTTTGATTGGATACCACACATCAAACCTGTCAAATTCTCAATTAGTAATAAGTATATATCGGCCGATTAAATAGTCATATTTAGTTAAGTCTCAATTATTGTAGTAGTATTAAAGTAATTAGAATAATATTGGTATTTGTTTCGTATTCACTGCTGGCCCTTACATAATTATTGTGTAAATTATTTACTATTTGTATAACTGTATACTATTTAAAGTAAACACTCTTATACTCTGGTGGTTTTCCATAAATTATTCGCATTAACAGTATCTTTTACGCTCATCGTGACCTTAGTTCAGGTGTGTTGACTCTTGAGCGACGAGCCATTGCAGGTGTTGGACTAACTAGCCTTTATAATTTGTGCACATTGCGTTGTGGAATGCGCTTGAGGTTGGGTTATTTTAGTGTGCTTTCGTGTATGTTTCGGATGTTTTTTTTAAATTTTTAAGATATTATTTTACATATTATCTTGATGTAACTTTGACCGATCTGTGTGTTTAATAGGTATTGGATTTGATATGGAATCATGTTTGGTGTTAGTCTGTAGACTTAGTCTCGAATATGAATATGTGGAATATGAGACACATATAATTACTATATTCCAACAATATCACATTTTAGGTCAAACTAATACCTAACCGTATTTTTTGAAGTCGGTTATAAACGCTTCAGTTTTGTTATTGGAAAACAAAATATAGTTTAACAATAACAAATATTTTATAATCTAAAAACACAACCTGTAATATTAATCTAAGTTGTCTTATCATTACTATATTTTACGCTATCTTAAAGATTTAACTAAATATTAAGACAATAATAATACGATGTAATTTTCATACACCTGCAGTAAGCAGTTTACTTTGACAACGGTCGAGGGAAGTCGTGTGTTCCGTAACTTACGTTTCGGCAGGAATTTAAAATAATACCTAATTAATTATTAAATATTTTTTCTTGCTGGATTTTTATGAAAATTGTAAGTGCGTACGTAATAGTCACTAACTGGTGACCTTATTTTGCATATTTAGTGAGGACTTTCTAAATGAAAGTATATAAAGGATTATTTAAAAGAAAGTTGTTGAAGCCTGGTAAGTTTTTTATTTTAATGAATTGTATTTTATAGAGGGATTTTCATAGGATTCCTGTGTTGTACATAAACAGGGCGTTTGGTAAAAATGTATATCTGAATTAGAAGGTAATGAAATAAAGCAGGTCATAAAAATAGTATTCAAATAACATACATTTTAGATATATTTAGCTTTTTAGTTTCCTATCTGGCTCAATACAAAGAAATATGTACATAATGAATGTGTATTTATCTTTTCGAAATCTCATCTATCTCACAAATGATAAAATGTTATATCTATTTTAACCTTCAATAATAAGAATTGATATGGAACTTAGATCATAAAGTATTAACCAAAATTTTTTTCGTTCTTCCTCCGTGAAAAGCGAACAATACATATAGGCATACATAGAGGCATAGGTAGGGGTAGGTAGAGGTTTTCTGCGTGGTAAAGGTGATTTAGCAGAAGCCAGATCTATCGTACATATTACAAAAAAATATTATTTCCGAGTTTTCCTTAAGAAATACCAAGACGCTCGTAATTTGGAATTTTGTACAGTTATAAGACTACGTTGTTTTTGTAAGTTCTTTAAAGTTTAAATATTTAATATGATTGGTTGAGTAACAATAGTTTAGATTTTCTAATAAATTTATATTTTATCAAATCAACGAAATCAACTTGATAACGACAAGTTGATTTCTTATTACATAATTCCTGCGTTGTATAACGTTTCTTTTTTCATTTCGTAAATGTTTAGAAATGATTAATCTATGCATTCGTACCGTGGTCCGCTATTATACCTTAGTTATTATTTGAAGTTAGATTGCTCGATTAAAACCATATAAAACTATAGTGCGATACCAGCGGTTTAAAACTACTATGCCCGCGTACGTGAAAATATGGTAAAAAATCTTAAAATTTTCATTTACACCAAAAACAATGAGTATTATTTTCTGATGTACTTATTATGCACAGAGAACCGTTGCTTTTATTTTTATTATATAGAGATAAATAAATGGATTATGCATAAGATTAAAGTATCTACTATCGTTAATCGAAATGCCTATGATATTGCGTACCCAAATTATCATATATTAATAATATATATGAAGATTATGTGAACTTTAGGCGCGCTGCGAATGCATTCGGCTTTAAATTAATACACTACTGAAAACATTTAAAATCTGTCATTCATTTTCATTATGGACTTCAAAGTACTAGGCCAAAAGCTCCGAAGAAACTTCGAATCGTATTGGTTATAGTATTCAGCAAAACATAAATAAAGTTGGAAAGATATTAGTGGAATTTAGCACTTGAATACCCACAGCACTTATAGGCAAAAATCAGTATTTTTTTTTATATAATAGGGGGGCAAAGCCATTTTAGTGGGTGCTTTGCCGGCCTTTGAGGGACGAGTAGGTATACTCGAATTTTGAACATTTGTAGGTCGTATCTCTCAGGGAAGACCCCCACCGGGAGTAGATTCCACAGTTCGCTAGTTCGCAAAAAAAAGTGCCTGTGGAAGACTTCCAGCCATCAAGGTGATGTTGGTGAAATTTAGAATTCATACGGCTCGTACGGTCGTATTTGAGCGTCTAATCTCAAGAAGCTTTATACTTTCGACACTTGCGGTGCTATCTATTCCGTGTCCATACGAGTGGCCTGCTCGCAGAGAGCCTCTGTTAGTGTTAATTGTTATAGATTACTTTGAGACATACATTCTGACAATTAGCCATGAATGATAAAATTCATGGTTAACTTCATTCTATGTCAAGAAGGAACGATAATACTTGATTACCTTCACTCTTATTCGTGTGTGGTTCCGGTAGAGAGTATAACTGTGTCATGTTATAATATAATTGTCCAAGAACTAAGGGCAAACAAGATTTGCAGTCAAAATTTGACCTAAATGTCGTTTAAGCTCGCTCTAAGAGAAAGTTAAAAAAATCATGTACCTACATCCGCAAGCTTGATAGCTTTTTTGCGTTTCTCGTTATCTCTATGCTCAGATTAGGGTGCTGATCTTGAATCTATAATCTATATATACTAATATTATAAATCAATTGGTATCTGGTATATTTGTTACGAAGAAAGAAAACTACTCCATCGATTTCAACAATTAATTTACCATTATTATTATTATTTATAGTGCCGGTTTTGTTGATCAGCGTGTCCTGTGACACAGGCCTCTTCCAGCTGCTTCCATTAATTTCTGATGTAAGCTCTTGTCCAAGTTGTGCCTATTATTCTCTTTATATCGTCTGCCTATCTCTTGCTCTGTCTTCCTCTTTTTCTTTTTCCATCTCGTGGTTGCCATTCTGTAATAATTTTTGTCGATTTCAACCTGCTATCTCTCGTCATGTCATCTCGTCATCTTTTACTATAATGCCATCTAATTTTCCCAAAATCTTAAAACCCAGCCGCAGAACTGGCCGCAGATATTATATTTATTTAGACTGAAGGAAAATTAGACCAACCATAATGTCACAAAAGTAATAGAAATATATTGAATTATTATTACAAATTCAAATTTAATTTTCATGAATCTATTCGAATATGGAATTCCTATTCTAGTACCTAACGTGGGTAAGTTAGTTTATTACCTATACGTTATAAAACGTTCGTTAAACAATTTAAAGGACTCGTGTTTTTGCGCTATATACAATTGAAGCGTATTTTGATACAAAAATGTATCGGTAATTTTCTATTAGGATGCTATTCGGTTTTACGATTTTTTTCATGGTATTAATATCCACTAAATTTATACTCGTTATGGTTAACTCTAGCGCAGATTAGCATTAAAATTTTACAATGGGACAAGGCATTACAACATATTTCCTCCCAAACGCCAGCGAAATATGTATTAATAGTATTTAACAATGCGAGTTTCATACATCGCTGATTATCACAATACTTTGTACGTTTGAATAAACATTTAAATGTACCTTAAACGTTACATTTATAACACATAAAGACAATTTCACAGTTAATTTGAAACAAAACCACGACACGGCTTGTAAATATTAACATGTTTCGATAAGGATTTTCGTATCGGTGGATTATTTTGATATTTTTTTATCGGGCTATCGCTTAGAAGGACACGTGCCAAGAAAATATATATCTGCAAGACCTAGTAGATTTTTAATGATATAACTTTATAAGTACGTAAAATCTAAAATAAAAAAAATAATAAAAACTCAGATTTCTGTATCTATTTCATGATCATTTGTCAATCTAATAGGCAAGTAGGTGATCAACCTGTTCCTAACACGCCGTCGACTTTTGGGATCTAAAGCAATGGGTTCGAGAATTAGAAAGAAAGTCCATTCGCGCACAGCTGGGGATCGAACTTACGACCTCAGGGTTGAGAGTCGCACGCTAAAGCTACTAGACCAACACTGCTCATATATTAATATCAATTTAGTTATAGTTGTCTCAATATCCATAGCACTAACGTCGCAATATTGAGATTGTGATGAAAAAATTCTAAACATTTAAAAGCTTGTAACCACAAGTTTTGTTTTTTTCAGATGGAAAGACGAAGTAAAACCGTATCTTATTCTATTTTACGACACTAACTTGAGAAAAGCAAAATGGAGGAATCGTCACCGGAGACGCGGAAGAGAAGCGTTGTAAGTATACAGTGTAAACTAAAGTGAAACTTGTAGCGGTTTATATGTTGTATAGATAAATAACCTAGATACCGACTGCAGCGCCATCTGCCGGGCTGATTAGTGAATCTAACCCATCCAGGGCGCCGCCCAAACAATAATAAAATTCAAATCGGAGGAGGATTTAAGAGGAGTTCATTAGGAGACTTATACACGTACCGTAGAATTATATACATAAAGATATTGCATAATGGAAATGTGCGTTTATTTTATGTAAAGCGTTACTCTGATAGAAGGACACATTAATAGAAGAATAATTATTTTAACACTCATTTAATTTAATAGTAATTTTTACTTTTGGTGTTTTTAAGGGTTTTTGTTACCATTACTTTTCCCAGCGCTATGTAGCGATCACCATTTACATATTATATGCTCATATAGACAGATTAATGATGTGTTACTGGCTTATGTTAAGGTGTATGTATGTATAATATACATCAGTTTTTCCTTGACTTGTGGCTTTTCCCTTTTCAACAAAAAAAGTGTAGGTTATAAATAATTTTATAATATGTTTAATATGTAGTTTATTTTCTCCTATATTATACTACCTATATAAATACAACACTAAGATTAATGGTAGTGGAAGGAGTCCAAAATTAGAAGACACAGATTTGAGTCTTTGCGCCCGTAACTTCTAATAGCGACCCCGAAGTTTTTGTATGCAATTTCTCGAGTCCTCTTAACTCTGATGTTATAAAATATTACAATTGTATAAAAAATTTCAAAAGGCATTTAATTAACATAACTACAGTAGCAAGTTGTTTTCATGAGTCATAATACGTGTTAACCAACTGAAAACATCACGTACAAACAATGCTTATCTTGACTAGTGCTATATTAAACAAATATGAAAATAATGGAATATCTAGACTTCACGAATGATGTGCATTTTTATATCGTTTAAAGGCACGCGCTTTGTAGAGCTCAAAGGTCCGATTCGAAGATTAGATTTCTGACGAAATTATTTTTGTTGTCAATTGGTAACATCTAATAGCATCAGTGAGAAACGTAGAAATCGTGTCTTTGGCTTTCGTGGCCCTACGAAACTACACACATATTCTAACATAAAAAACAATTCTTAATACCTAAAGGCTGAGCGGATGAAAGCTTAAAAATGTATTAAACCTTTTTATAATGTAATTTTATTAAAAATCACGTAAATTTGTTGGGCAATAGCATCTTAAATCTAATATTAGCTGCAAGTACGTTGGTGTGAATGTAAAACGAACTTTTAGATTTGATGGCAACAAAGAAGATTTGACAGACGAAATATGTCGCTGACCAATCACTTTTGAACTTATTTTCATATGTTGGTACCAATTATTAGTATCTGTTTATTTAAGTTGTTTTCTTTTATAACATTTCTCATCTGTGAAGCATTTCAAAGACTAATTATAGCTTATATTTTTTTAAATAATATTTGTTATGTTTCCTTATTTAATGAACGTATAATCTCTTCGTCATTCGTATTACGAATCCAAACGAATCGGACCATCTTGCATTTTATCTCTCACAGTAAAACAGTTCTACCGTCACTGCATTGTTGAAGTGAGTCTCAGAGGAACGCTTATTCTTTATTAATATTATCAATGTTTATTTGCCTTTACGCTATTGGACTAGCAATTTGATCTTTTCTATTTAGATTGCGTAATTGTATAACCTCTTTTATGAACAGTTAGTAAACAGTTGATTAACCAAATTGTCACTAACATTGTTTGTTAAATATGTCAACTGTGACATATATTTAATACATAGTCCTTGGACTTAATAGATGGAGTTGTAATTACAATTTTTGGTTCCAAGCTTGAACGTGAATAATTCATATGTATTCAATATTGTTTATATATATAAGTACTGTCCGGGTTACCGTAAAAGGTACTGGAATCATTATTTGTTACTGAGAGAAATCCCCTCAAATAATATTAATAATAATAATAAAGCCTTTTTTAATTCCATATCTTTAAGTTCCATTTCAAATGTTGTGAGACGTGTTATTTACTTATAGGTAAGTATTAATAGTAATATGATAGTCGCCTGTGCATATGGACCTCTCCATATGGTCTCAGGGTCACTTTTCGGTAGAGTAATTTTTTTTCACAGAGAGGTCTGAAGTAAACAAAAAGTTTTGATTTGAAAAAAAATTATATCGTATAACTTAATATTATCTTCAATACACTCAATAAACAACTATAAATAGTATGTGTTAAGCAAGAACTCATCAGCACCAATCTAGTGCATATTATGAAAAATATACAGGATGTAGATCTTATCGAATTTTAATAAGAATTAGTAAAAAAAAGTCAATTTTCTTATAAAACGCAAAATAAATCATAACTCTGCAGGGGTTGACCTTAGAGACCTCCCGTAGAACAATTTTTTGCCGCTGATGACCTCATCTATCCCCTATTTGCGTTTGATCCACGACTTTTTGGCCACCCTGTATATCATAAAAAACTGAAATTCAAATTCCAAATAATATTAATACATTTTCGAATAGCCCTTCTTAACAATCAAATTGTCCGCCTGTGGAGCGTGGGCCCCACGTTGGAAATTGGGAATCACTGCTCTAATCCTTTTAAACGTCGAAAGCTGATAAAGAGCTTTATGAACTTAATAAGTCAGAATTTGGTATAACCTAATAATAAAGTCGTGGGCTAACCTTACCACCTTTGTTTGTACACCTGAATCGTTTAGGATTCTTTCGAAATTATCGAATCTAAGGATTTATACAAATTATTCTTATAATACTTCTTAAGTATCATTCATTAAATATAATCAAGCATCGTTAAAAGCAAAAGCGTAATTATATAATTGGGTATTTAATAACTTTCAACAGTAATTACTCGTTTACTAAAGTTGGTAATTATTGTAATGTCGTTGATTTTTATTTAACGTCAGTACAAATTTAAAGGTTACGTAAACTTGTAATCTTTATTGGTTTTTTACTACCGATAAAAGTTTATAAGGACTCGTAAAACAAAGTAAAATTTAATTTGTTTATGATTTTGATATTAAAATATTTATTATGACGTCAGACGTGGATTGTTTACTCCAGATTCTATTGTGTGTAATCATTTGTGTATTTGTGCATAATTATATGTAAAAAGCTATTTAATATGTAACTTATTATTAATGAAATACCGTGTTCTCGGGAGCATACGGTAAACAATACTGAGTCGGCACGCCATTCATTTCACGATAATTTAAAGAAGCATATGAAACATTATTTATTAAATATACGTCATATAGCTTCCCTACTAAATGTAGCTAATACTTATGGAATAATCTCTACCAGCAAGCAAAGAATTTTAGACCTCCGACTTGATCGAATTTAACTAATAAAAAACTTATTTTTCAGAAGAGTGAAGTTTCTCTAGAGTTATCAGATATCCAGAAGGAAAAAGGAAACACAAATGGGCAGGTATGACATAATTGTCTTATTTATTAGCCTATTTTGCTCCCCAAATAGTATAAAACGGCGTAATTTCATTAATTCCATAAGACAAAGAAGTAATGTTTAGCTGAGATTAAAAAGTGGCGATATTAATATTATTATTAGAAAAAAATATAAAAAATAAATAAATCAGTGGCGCTACAACCTCTTTAGGTCTTGGCCTCAGATTTCTGAATCTGTTTCATGGTCATTTTTAAATCTAATAAGCTCCAGTGCTTGACACACGCCATCGACTTTTTGGATCTAAGACATGTCGGTTTCTTCACGATGTTTTCTTTCACCGTTCGATCAAATGTTAAATGCGCACATATACGTAGAAAGAATGTCCATTGGTGCACAGCCGGGAATCGAACCTACGACCTCTGGTATGAGAGTCGCACGCTGAAGCCACTAGGCCATCACTGCTCTATTATATTATTATTAGAGCTTTATTCATTAATGCTTACAATAAATGGTTAGTTAACATTTCTTAATATGAATATTAGTTGTGTAAGTTGTAATAAATTAAGTTAGTTTTTTAGTATCAAAAAAAATATATATGGCGATATAGGAATACTTAATACAATCTTCGACCTTATTTGGTAACGCATGGTATTATCAAAATCTCGTCGGACGTAACAATATTTATGTTATAATCAAATAATTTTTATGTATGTTTAGTAGGTTACTTGTAAAAGTTTTAAAAATTTTATTTGATGTTTTACAGGTGGTCCATGAACTTTTAGATTACGAACCAAATGGTTGGTTTGAACAGACTATGCTAAAAATGAGCACCAGTACTGAAGATTTCGTGAAGAAAAACAGCTCAGCGATGAAAATCATTGTAATTTTCCTCATCAATGCCTTAGTAATCGGCTTCTTCTTCGGCTGTTTATATTATTGGCTTAATATTAGTGAGTATTTTATCGATTTTGGTATCTATTTCCTCGGTATACGCTACTTATAGATAATGTAGATTGTACACATGAGTGCAGTACTATATAAAACAACAGCAAAACATGTATCTGGAATAAAAGTAGTTTGCCAAATCAATGTTTGTACTTCTTACATTTAAATCTCACTAGATGGCGCCTTTTCAGTTAACTGAAAGCAGTAAATGTCTCACATATTTACAGAACAAATAAGTGATGGCCTGGTCATTTTTCTCTACTTGTTTTCTATATAGGCACTTTAGTAAGCCTTTTGCGCTTTTTAGACATTTACGTTAGGAAGCGTTACGTCATGCAATTTTTGGAAATTATTGACACCCCATGTATCGCGCCGTATCGTAAAGTTACGTGACCACCCAGTGACTCTTTATACCTGAAAGTTACCATTATGTGGTGTAAAGTAATGGAAAGTCGAAATTAATATTAACAAAATTCCCGCTCCGTATCGTAACGTTTTACAAATAGACCCCACCCCCCAAATTCGTTACGTAATACTTGAACGCTCCCTTACTAGAGGGATCGCAAGTGCGTTGCCGGTCTTTTAAGACTTGGTACGCTCTTTTCTTAAAGAACTCTAAGTCGAATTGGTTCAGAAATACCTTAGTGGGCAGCTAGTTCCACAAACATGCTCGGAAAAACTGGTTTAATAAACGCTCAGTTTTCGAATGACTAATCAGTGTCGAATGAGAATTCTGGGTTGACAATGTCATTATGTTATTAAAGTTCGACAGTCTCTTAATAGTTAATACTTTATATGAAAAATTCATTACTTTGTGAATAATATGATGTAGGAAATAAGAATATCAATTATGTAGAGAAACATGAATTTGCTCAGCCTTGGTATTTACGACTGAGTTACGTGACTCGAGACCACTTAAAAATGATTTATTTTAAGTTTTTTATTTTATTTACGTATAAAATTATACATATTAGCATTTTTATTTCCAGATAAACAACCATTAGAACTCTGTAACGGATTTGGGAGTCTAATAGCATTACTTAGTATAATATACTTCTTTGTAATATATTTTCAAATAGTCAAGAGATTCTGTGGTAAATGGTTCGAAGAGACAATATGGAGAAGGATAGAATCGTCGATGGAACCGCTTCTGAAAAAGGTGTAAGTATTTATTTATTTATTACAGAAATACATACATTATCCTTACATACTATGCCAATACGACAATGTCGAGTTACATTAAATAAAATATAATAAAGTACATATATAATACTAGCTGATCCGGCAAACGTCGTTTTGCCATGTATATCATTTATAATAAAAAAATAGGGGTTGATCGTAGAGGGGTGAAAATTAGGGGTTGTATGTATTTAAAAAAAATCTAAAAATTAAAAAAAAAAATTAGGGGTGGACTACCCTTACCATTTAGGGGGATGAAAAATAGATGTTGTCCGATTCTCAGGCATACTCAATATGTAAACAAAATTTCATGAGAATCGGTCAAGCCGTTTCGGAGGCCTCAAGTTCGCGAATACTGTATTAGTAATAATACAATACAATACAATGGAACTGTCAATAAAATAAATATATGGCGTGTTGGCAATTATTTTTTGTTTCTTACTTCCATGGAAAATACTAATTAAATGTGTATTTAATTTAAACATTATAATTGTAGTGGTTTAAATAGTATTATAGTGGTATTTGGGATAAATTAAAGAACGCGGGACATGAAATATATTTCGTATGGGAAAATGAAAAAAAAAAAACGTGTTTGTACTTATGTACACGCGTTAGAAGTTATACTTCTTTGGCGTAACAAGATAAAAATCTTTTTAAAAGTTTTATCTTTCGCCTTATTCTACGTTTGTAGAAAAAACGTTGCTCATAATTTTTCCCTAACGCGCCAAAGAAGTATTACTTCAAAAAAACTAAAATGTTGACTATAGCTAACTTCAGGGATTCGGTTTTTCGGAAGTATAACTTCAAAAATATAACACTCTCTTATAGGCTTATTTAATATTTCAGATGGTTTCCCTGGCTCACTGCAGCAGTAGTACTGGCAGCGGTAGCAGTGTTTCTCTATTTCGACACTAGAGGCGCCACTGACAGACTGACTCCGCTGATCGCAATTGCTTTCTTATTAATTTTGGGTAAGTTGTATTAATAACTTTTCATATTGCTATGTAAGTTAAAAAAATGGACGTGATTTCTGCACTACATTTTTATATTCTATCTATTTCGGGATACAGTAAAGTATTGAAGGATTCTTTATACGCATTTAAATTTTCGAATTCTTTTTCAATAGTATACGATAAACGTTTGTATTTTATAATGAAAGAAAGTGGGCGTACTATCCTACATATAAATGTAAAGTGGAAGTTGTATCTATGAATATTAAAAAGTTAAAATTATAAATTAAATATAGGTATTTTTATCGAAGTTGTTAAATTTCTGCCGCTCGGAAATCCACTATATCATTTCATGTGAAATCATAATTTTCAAGATTTTGATTTTTACGATCTGATTATATTAGTTTTTTGTTTAAATTAGACAAATTAAACAAAAAAAAAATCTAATTCCCAAATTAACTTAGGGTCCTTCAAGTAATTCCTTAAAGGCCGGTAACGCACTTGCGAGCCCTCTGGCATTGAAGGCGGCAGTATCACTTAATATCAGATGAGCCCGAACCTGCCCGTTTGCCCCAAGAATAAAGAATAATTAGAACCTATGCCACAGATTTGACTTTCGATAAATTACAGGATTTGTGTTTTCGGCTCATCCGGGGAGGGTGAATTATCGCACAGTGTCAGTGGGGTTGATGATACAATTTCTATTCGGTGTCATCTTTATAAGATGGAATACTGGAAGGTTGGCGTTACAATGTTTTTCGGATAAGGTATTTATAATAAGATATATCGATTTCAATTTCTAAAACGAGGGTATTAAATGATTTGTAACAAGCTAAAAAAATACATATATCTTTCGGGAAAATATTTTAATTAAATACGCAGTGTTGGCCTGGTGTCTTTAGCGTGCGACTCTATATTTTTAATAGACAGGGTCGCTTCAGTCCCTAAATATGTCGAATGTAGAGTATAAATAATATTAATATATTTATTAACCAATTCGATATAGAAAACGCAATAAAAACTAAATATTTTTTTACGATCTTTACCTTAATTAAAAATTAATAAAAAACGCAATTCAATGACAAAAAGCAATTCTATGACACACAGGCGGGTTGTGAGATGTACCTCAACCGTTAGGCCAATTCTGCTAATAGTTTAATATTGCTTTAGCCATAGAGTAATTTTGTCTATGGAACTTTATTATAGGTTGCCACATTCCTCACATATGGAGTGGATGGTGCTGCGTTCGTTTTTGGAGATCTTCTCGTCAGAACCGAAGGAGTTTTTGCATTTAGTGTAAGTATATTTAAGCGGAATTCGAAAATATTTTCTAATCATGACCCTGGTTCTACTATCTACTTTTAGCCAAAACAAAGGCCGGCAACGCACTAGCGAGCCTGGTAATGTGAGTGTCCATGGGCGGTGGTATCACTTAACATCAGATGAGCCTCTGTAAAAAAATCCGTCAGTAAAATGAAGCCGGAACTTCCAGTACCGTTAAAGAAGTTAATGATAATGAAATATACGTTAAAATGTCGGTAACGCATTCGCGAGTCTCCTGACAGTGACTTCAACATCAGATGTACTTCATCATACATACAAAAGAGTAGAATTTGGGTAAAGATTTAAATTTTTATTATTTTTTTGTATTTTTTTGCAGACCCTACCAGTAATATTCTTCTTCAGTATGTTAGTGGAAGTGTTATTCTTCTGGGGAGCCTTGCAGTGGTTTTGTTTGAAGCTTGGCCATTTGTTACGAGGCGCCACCAATACAACTGTTTGCGAGAGCGTGATCTGTGTTGGGAATATATTTCTTGGCATGGTAAGTATTTTTATAATTATTCCGAAAATAAAGTTAAAAAAAAAAGTGGAACTTAGCATTTGAAATAGTTACTAAATATTTTGAATTGAAACTAGTAACTTAATGAAATTAATATTTGCTGTTGATTTATGTTCATTATTTTTATTTACATCAACACAATACCTAATAGTTAATACTTTATATTAAAGAAATGGTTTGTTTAGGCTCCTTCACCCTAAACCACTATCGTATCGACTGAAACTACCACCATTCGATGCGAAATTTTATGAAAAATCCTAGATGGTTTATGGCTATTTATTTATTAAATTCCAACTTCCTTCATTTTTTTATTGCTGTTTTACTTTTATGAAAATTTATCCATACGGACTTCACCCGAAACTTCGGGAGCTTCCTAGAACCTCTAAACGTCAACATCTGTTAAAAACTCGATTTTCGAAATATTTCAATTTTCTTACGGGAAGTTAAAAAGAAGTAAAATAAAAATATGAAAAAAATAAAATAATTAAACATAAAATTTATTTTAATTCGTCCAGCAAAGAAAAGTACTTTATAAATAAATTTAAATTAATATTAATGTAAAAAAACACTTTAACGGATTTTAACGGATTTGAAGTTATGTTTTATTATAAATTTACAATTATTTTACATAATTTTAAATTTAACCGACGTTTCGCGTGCTTTACAGCGTGCGTGGTCACGGTGACACATAACTTCAAACGTTAAACGTGTCAATAAAAGACAATATAAATGTAAAAGTTGAGTGTAATAGGCGGCTCTATCGCTTGTAAGCGTTTTCTTTCCAACTGTGTTATTTTTTTTATTTCTTTTATAGAACATCAAATTACACAGTTTTCTAGGAAAATCACATGTTTCTATCAAATCTTTCACCTTACCGACTGATTAATTTGAAATTTAAAACACATGGATTTTTCAAATGTAGCCGTAATATTTAGTCAAAGTAGTATTCAAATATGATAAAAAGTGGGTTCTGGATTTTTTTCAAATCCGACATTGCTCTACGATCATGACGAAGTATAAAGATGAATATTTATACTTTATTTTTGATTACTATTCAATAAATGATTATTTGCATGAAACACCGTAAATGATATAAAATTAATGATGAAATGTATATAATATAATAGGCTGGATAATATAGGAATTGGCTTTGAATAATATTGTAAAATTCTTTGGGACGAATTTGCGCGCCATCGTGTGTGGCAGAATATGCGAACGATTTATGATTGTATCACCTTAGCATTTGTACCATATTCTTGCAATAAATAAAATTATTATTATTATTATTAATAGAGAACTATTATGATGTAACAGTGTTGGCAACATAACACTTCAGACTGTACGAGCCAAGGCTGCATTTTGATCATTCAAATTTCTTAGTTTTATAAGCGTGACGATTTCCTAAATCGTCGGAGTTACGCCCCTAGAGTATAGCCAAACGCAGGCACTCTCTTCAACTGTTACATTGCATTAATTCATTACATAGCAATTAACATTTCATTATTTCGCTTATATTCTATTGTTGTAGCCGAGAGGATAATATACAGTAAAAATAAAATCCTCTATTATTTAAAGCACCCCGATGACCCAGGCACCCACGAAATAATTCTGTACACACAGACTCTACCATGCAAGCTTCCCAAAACATTTACTTTTACTCGATATATTGTATCGAGTATTTATGGCTTACGGTCAGTACTCACATACGGTATTACTCGAACGAGCTAAACTGTCGAGTAAAATCCATGGCATGGGCTTTCGTCCACACATTAAGCATTGATCTATCGAGTGAGGCGCGCCGTTCAGTATTCACCGAACTGTTCGAGCCAAAAGATGTCTGTGCAACAAAGGAGACGGTGGCTGTATTTAGCAAGTCTCACAGTGCTTTATAAGAAAATCAAAGAAAATGAAAAGAAATTTATCATAACATTAATTTCTCTTATTTTTGTGGGAGTAATCTTTGGACTTGACATTCCATAAACACGCACACTGTCTATATGTGTTAATAAAGTCTTCTATAGCGACTATAGCGCTTTTGGAATAAACTCGCAAATCCATTTCTATTAAAAACACGTGTTTCAATTACGATAAACAGTACCAGACTGACGCTCGCCTCGCGACTCGCGCCACTCGCAGTCACGTACACACGTTCGAGTCAAGATTGACGGCTCGCTTCGCGTAGGTTCGAAGGAAATTATTTTTATTTAATTCCCTCGAGCCGGCTCGGTGCGAGCTTTCGAGCTGTGAGTTTTGCGGTCCACACGTTGATTTTTACTCGACTTCGAGTAAAACTATCGAGTAATACCGTATGTGAGTACTGACCTTTAAACGTCTATACTAGCCGTGTGTTGTCCACGTTTCTTACTAATCCTTCCAAATTCCTAATTAAACTTAAAAAAATCTCAATTATATAAATATTTTCAGTCTGAATCAGTTCTCCTGGTGAAACCTTATTTGGCTCTTCTCACGCCTTCAGAATTGCATGTCATAATGTCATCTGGTTTTGCAACAGTTTCCGGTTAGTAAGTATATTAAATGTTTTATTTATTTATTTTTATTCCAATTGAACTTCTTATACAAATAAAACATAAATTTTAATTTATAAATCATAAAAGTGTAAAAAAACATTGCTACTTTATTGATATAATTTTTGATGGGATTGGCTAATCGCTTCAATTATTAATTGAATTGATAAAATAAACCGATGCCGCTTATTAAAAGTATTATAAATAAATTAATAATAATTTAAATTTTTAATAATAATTGTATTCTATAATTAGGCGAAAAGTTACGAGAGTTTCACCATGTAATATTATAGGTTTCAATTATACTTTTAATAACAGTCTATATAGTTAGGAGTTGGGAGCAGGGTTGATGGCTAGGCCCACGATCTCAAACCTGAGTTCATGAGTTCAGATCATGGCTTAAAAAAAATCTTTTCAAGAGTTCTAGCGCCACAGTTTTTTTGTTATAAAGAAAACAAGAGCCGCCTATTAGTATGTTAAAAATATTATACAATAATTTTCAGGTACAATTCTGGCAGCGTATATAGGGTTTGGGGCAGAGCCAGCTCACTTGGTGACAGCCAGCGTGATGTCGGCTCCTACTGCCATCTGCTACTCCAAGCTGCTGATGCCGGAGACTCGGAGATCCCTCACCAGGGTCGATAATATTCAGTCTGTGGAACGGTATGGCTCTGACTTTAAAGTTTTAGCTCTTGCGTAATACGCTAAATAAATATAGAGAATGTTCAATACATAATTTCTAGGACATGCAAATGTCTTATTGCCTTGTTCTATAATAATAATTCAGTGGCGCTACTGATCTAAATGGGCCTAGGCTTATTACTCCATCCGTATCTTTGATTATTTAGCTAGGCAAGTATAATAATAATAATTCTTTATTATTATTATACTTGTATAATAATAATAATTCTTTATTATTATTATACTTGCTTATACATGTATGTATAACATCTCCTATATAACATTTGAAACAAACAGTACGATTACAATTAAGAAGGTATTGGGAGACTGGTTTCCAAGCTAGGTAAGTATCTGTGATATGGATAACCGGGCTTCCATTCCACAGCAAAGTCATACTGAGTCATAACAAAAAAAAGTTCGTGCGCACAAAGCACACACGTCAAAAATTAAACTTCTTTGGCAAACTAATTTTTAAGTCTTGTTCATATTAATACAAATCTAAAACTTTAGATTTCTGAGACTTACGAGGGAGGGAAAAAGGATTATAACTTAATGAATTTCATTGTTATTAAAATATTAAGTTTCGAAAATTAATACAAAATATATTTTTTTTTTTTTAGATTATTTCTTCAAAAATAAAATCGATCTCAATCGCTCTCTCCCTTTTATTCGACAAAATAAAACAGTTAAAAATTTACCAATTCTTAAAAGGCCGGCAAGGCTCTCGCGAGCCCTCTGGCATTGAGAGTGTCCATGGGCGATGTCCATGCCCGTTAGCCCTCTGTTCTAAATAAATATATAGATATTGTTTTTGTCATTTGGGCCAACACCAGCGGCTTAAGTAACTTGGATGTAATGTCAAAGTTAAAGTCAAAAATCATTTATTCGTTTAGGTAACACAATGTAAACTAATGAACGTCAAAAAATAAATATACATTAAATGCTTCTAATTTTACATTTACTGCCAGTTCTCAAATCAAGGGCGTAGAACGAAAGAGAAGTACTGGCAATAATTTTTCCGCCACTCTTTTTAATCGCCAAGTTTTTTGTTTTACACAACGTTTAAAACGCTGCAAGTTGCAACCATTACACCATGTTCCACATGACATCTTAAGTAATAAATAATAATAAAATAAATTAAAAACAAAGATTTGTCCTATATCAGCAGGAGGCATGGTGAAATAGGAGCACGCACTTACATTCTCGTGGGATAATAGAAATAATGAAATAAGAATAAATGATTTACTGCGTTGTCATATAAATGTATTATTATATATTTTTATTTATTATTATTGTTATTTTATCTTTAGATTTTACTTGATTTTATTTTAGCTATAGTAACGTGTTATTTTGAGTTTTATTTTTTGTTAATAATTTTTGCATTTCTTGTACTCTACCCTCTGTTTTCTTTTTCATTGTTCCACTTTAGGGTTGCCTGGAAGAAATCGCTTGTTAGCGATAGGGCCGCCCGTTGCCTTATAACTTTTGTAATCTGCTTTTTTTTTATTTTTGTTATGTTTTTGATTAAGGTAATAAAGTATAAATAAATAAATGGTCTTAACTAAACTGAACCTTAAAAACACCGTGAGAATTTCTTAAAAACCGCGTGATAATTCATACCTTTCAGGCAAGACCAATCCGCGTTATCAGCGGCCACTCGTGGGGCCACAAACGGAATAGCCCTGGTTTTGAACATAATAGCCAACTTGGTGGCTTTTGTCGCTGTAGTGGCGTTTGTCAATGGCCTTTTGGGATACTGCGGCGGTCTTTTGGGCAATCCAGACTTAAATCTCGAGTGGATCTTGGGGAAGGTGTTCATACCGCTGTGTTGGATGATGGGTGAGATTTTTCTCGCTATTATTAGTTTTACTTACTATGTTTGTTGTCTTGTGTGTGCAGAATTAAACAATTTGTGGTAGTGTATCTTTTCTCTATGATTGATGTATGACAGTGGGCAAGATGATCGTTACTAGCGATTCGAATTGAATATGGACTTTACAGTTTTATTATCAGAGTGTGAGAGTTCCGTTAACAGACGTTGCGTCTACTGAATGCTGTCTCCGAAATAATCGACATTTTTGAGTTATTCTATATGCAGTGTTACTTTGTTTCACCTTAATATCATTCATTAACTTAGCCTGTCTATTTAGCAGCACTATGGAACATTTTGCTATGCTACCCCATAGGGACTGTTCGCTTTTACAGTATAAATAAACTAAGTACGTACTAAATAAAACTAAATGTATCTTTATTTTTAATTTTTCTCTCTGTAACAACCTTCCTTAAAGTTTAAGGAATTAATAAATAAAAAATCACTCGAATTGGTGAAGCCGGTGTGTTTTCTGCAAAGGAACATATTTTGCGATATACATATTTTCATATATTTTCTTTTATTTTAATTTCAACATTATCGTATTGTCTTAGAATGCATATTTTTATGAATAATTAAATTTAAAAGAGATATTCGGATTTGAAATTCTAACTAAAGCTACATAATATGGATATAATCTGAAGTAACGAAGTTATTATTTATCAATGGTTTGAGCTTCTATCTTCTATGTTTTTCTTAATCCTGATAAGATTTTCTTTAAAAAAAACGCGTAAGTATGTCTAGGTGACGTTTTTTTTAAAATTGTTGACTCGCCCATTATATCGTGCTCAAATTGGCAGATTATTGAAACTTTTACGCTTGTAATTAACTTATCTTCACTTTTTTGACACTTTTTTGAGTAAAATAGACATAACATAAACTTTTTTGTTTAAGAACCTAATCTTCACAATCCAATAGGTCCCCATGACGCCTTAGTAACTGCAAATGTAGCATCTCGGGCGCCCCTGGTATAACTATACTATTATAAAAAATATTATGAATATTTTAGAACGTTACTTTTTTCACCAGGTGTTCCATGGGAAGAATGTGAACTAGTTGGATCTCTTATCGGACTGAAGACTGTAGTCAATGAATTTGTGGCTTATCAACGGATGGGAGAGATGAAGAGAGACGGACTTTTGTCTGTAAGTAAATGCATTTCATATACATCGAATTTTCTTTCAGCCTCTGCTGTAGAAAAATGACCTCAAAAATAAAGAAATTGTTATAAATCAGAACTAAATCTATATTCCTGAAGCTTTTTAATTAAAAAAAGTATATCTTAACTGAATTTAAAAATGAAGGAGTTTATCTATTTGAGGTGTATTTTTATTTTATTTTATAGGGTCGATCGGAGTTAATAGCGACGTACGCGTTATGTGGCTTCACCAATCCATCGTCAGCTGGAATCATGATCGGAGCTATAGCAGCCATCGCTCCTCAGCAACGGGAGACCCTGTCTTCGGTAAAATACTTTATTGGAGTTTACTCCTTAAGAAACGATTTGAGTTATAAGGTCCGGTACGGAAATTTTATGAGGAGGAAAATCAAGTGTAACACGAAAAGTTGAGGCGTTATGTAGAAAGAGACAAACATATAGAGTTTACTCCTTAAGAAACGATTTGAGTTATAAGGCCCGGTACGGAAATTTTATGAGGAGTAAAATCAAGTGTAACACGAAAAGTTGAGGCGTTATGTAGAAAGAGACAAACATATAGAGTTTACTCCTTAAGAAACGATTTGAGTAATAAGGTCCGGTACGAAATTTATGAGGAGGAAAATCAAGTGTAACACGAAAAGTTGAGGCGTTATGTAGAAAGAGACAAACCATAGAGTTTACTCCTTAAGAAACGATTTGAGTTATAAGGCCCGGTACGGAAATTTTATGAGGAGTAAAATCAAGTGTAACACGAAAAGTTGAGGCGTTATGTAGAAAGAGACAAACATATAGAGTTTACTCCTTAAGAAACGATTTGAGTAATAAGGTCCGGTACGGAAATTTTATGAGGAGGAAAATCAAGTGTAACACGAAAAGTTGAGGCGTTATGTAGAAAGAGACAAACATATAGAGTTTACTCCTTAAGAAACGATTTGAGTTATAAGGCCCGGTACGGAAATTTTATGAGGAGTAAAATCAAGTGTAACACGAAAAGTTGAGGCGTTATGTAGAAAGAGATAGCCATATATATCTGTAGGATTGAACGTGTAAAAGAATGAGATGAAATACATTACACAGACTTTTCTATTTTGAATTCACGTTTTGACAGCCACGTTACAACATTGTCAGTGTTGACAGGTGTAAAAAATAAAAGTAGATTGTCTAGCGTGCCATAGAGTTTTGTCTATAGTAATGGTCAGTGAAATTAAAACTAAAAAGATGGTTCATTCTTATTCTTCTCTTACTATAAAGGTAACTTTGGTCACAGAAAGAAAATCCTATTTGGGCATAGATGATGTAGGTACGTTTTATTACTACTACAAACATTTATATTATAAAAACATATATTCTTACCACCTTTAGTATGAAAATATGGTCGACAGCCACAGAACATTATCGCCATTTTATCGTTCGTAAGGAGTACCCACTTTTTTTATCGTATTATTAAAAAAAGTTATTTAAATAGATATTTCACAAATTCGTGGATTTCTAAAAATACTGAACCAATTTTGATGAATTTCGAATGTTCTCCAAGTTGCATCTCGATGTGAATTTTAGTTTTCAAGATATTTGCGGACATACATAAATACGTGCTTGCCAGCCTACAATACATTTGACAAAAGTTGTCAAACCTTTTCTATTAACAATACTTTGTCAAATTATGTATAAAACATCACAATTTCTCATACGTTCACTTTTCATATTACAAGAGAGAAAAACATACGGCATCATTACACTTACACACTATTCCGACTCTGAATTTTATCCATTACATCTATTACCCAGTGGTGCTTCAACCTGGGCCCAACCTCAGATTTCTGTATCTGTTTCACTATCATTTGTGAATCCAATAGGCAAATAGGTGATCAACCTTCAGTACTTGTTGACTCGCGGGCGCGGTTACGAAAAATCAAACATATGGCGTAATATCCAAGTGTTCACATACGAAACGCACGTGCGGTCTAATTAGCGGGCAAGGTAGCGACGGGCGCGCGCGTGCCGCTCGCGGCAATATCAAACGGCTGAAATGTTTGTGTGTGTTCACGTCGAACTAGCGGCGAAGCGCGCGGTTCACTCGCGACGTCAGGTAAGTTCAACCAGTTTGAACTTGTCGCTAGAAACGGTAGTACGTCTTCAGCATGTCTTTCAATACAGATGAGTTTATTTGTGCTGAATCCAATATGTATTCAAAACAGTTGACAGTCATCCTGGTATATCCAAAAAATCTTGAAGAATGTCTCTCAAATTACTATATAAAGTATGGAATTCACCATACCGCTCCCTTTCTTTATTAATTTCGTGCACACCAATTCTATTTTTTATAATCTCCCACTTTAGATATGAATTTTCGGTTAAAAATAAAAGAATGTCGTCCATATTTACAATCTCTGACAACACGTCACACTCGCGCAAACGCCTGGCGGCCAATGTGAACACGAACTCGCCACTTCTCCGCGCCCGCACCCGCCGCGTACCTACTAAGATAAGCCGGTTTCCTCACGACGTTTTCTTTCACCGTTCGTGCGAATGTTAAATGCGCACATAGACAGAAAGTCCATTGGTGCACAGACCTCAGGGAAGAGAGTCGCTGAAGCCACCAGGCCAACACTGCTCCGTCTATTCATATTTTTTGTCACATTTGTTACATTGCAGAGATGGACTTTCTATGAACACTGCACTACTTATTTTACCATACACTAAACCATGTGTGTTAGAAAAGTTATTTCTTTTACACATTTTAAATTTATTATATTTCTTTTTTCAGTTGGCGCTGCGCGCGTTTTTCGCTGGCTGTGGTATTTGCTTCTTAAACGCGTCCGTTGCAGGTAATTATATGTTTAACCGGCATGCCTTAGGGAGCGTTCAAGTATTACGTCAAGCAATTTTTGGAGAATATTGACCCCCCCCAATGTAACGCGCCGTAACTTTTTTCTGTACAGTACTGTACCCAAGTATAGTAAAACGTTTCGTGACCACCTAGTGACCTTTTATACCTAAAAGTTACCATTATGTGGTGTAAAGTACTGGAAAGTCGAAAATAATATTAACAATAACGCGTAATTCAATTCCAGTATCGTAACGTTTTACAAAAGGACCCCCCTAAAATTCGTTACGTAATACTTGAACGCTCCCTTAGACATAAAAAGTCCACAGCGTGTGTCAGGCACAGAAGGCTGATCGTCTACTTGCCTTAATGACCACGAAATACACAAAACCCAGACCTAAAGAGTTGTTGAAAGTAAACCAATAATGAAGCGAAAAATAATTTGCCCTTTTCAGCTCTACTCATGCCGGAGGGATCTTTTGGATAATGATGCGAGTTAATTTTATTCAGATTTTTAAGACACATTCCGAATTGTATTAGAAGCCATGTAAATAGATTTAATATTAAAGTTTTTTTAAGACTAATAAAAAGATTTATTGAATTACGTTTTATTAATTATCTCTGAAATAAATGGTTATCAGTTACAAAATATACACTTGATCGAACAATCTATTCGAATCTTTATATATATATAAATCTTCAGTGCGTGTGTTTGTAATTTAACTCCTCCGAAACGTATTTTCAAGAGTATTCGAGAATAATTTAGATGAATCTACAAAAAGATAACTTTTTTATAGTTTGAACTGTATTTAAGACACTCGTACAGGGCAACGTCTATCGGGTCCGCCAGTAAATCTAATAAATAAAATCCTCGTGTCACAATGTTCGTTCCCATACTCCTCCAAAACGACTCGACCGATTCTTATGAAATTTTTTATGCATATTCAGTAAGTCTGAGAATCGGGTACTATCTATCTTTTAAACCCTTTAATGATAAGGGGTGTCAACCCCAAATTTTTATTTTTATTTTGAGAGAATTTTTTTTTTTGTTTTTTAATATTTAGCTGACAAAAATACATACAACCCCTAATTTTCACCCCTCTATGATCAACCCCTATTTTTTATATATAGAGAAAAATTCACAGAAAAACCTAAAAAGAAAACCGAACGCTTTTTGGGGTAGTATAGCAAAATGTTCTATGTTGGTATGTACTAAAAGGGTAGGCTAAGTAAATTCACATTAAGGAGAAACGAAGTTCGCGGGGGCAGCTAGTAGTCCTTTAAAATGTAATGTCATGAAAATCTTCATTTAAAGAAAAATAATAAGTCTCGTCTCCAAGTCGGTGAATCTTTTCAGGGGGATTTAAGGGACCTTTCTTAAGTTATAACGCAATTAGCTAACCTCGCAAAATTTTATACCTAGATATCAATTTAAAAAAAAGGTTTTAAATAAATAGGTTGTATCTTGAAAACTGAACCAAAGTTGCAAAATATTTTTTGATAGATTTATACACTAATAAATCTGCTAGAAGTGCCTTAGAGATGTGACTTTTTGACATGGTCATCACAGTGACGTACTTATATATAAACCGAATGGAACCATAAAGTATAATTTAATTACCCCTTTTTTTTATTGGAGTTCACATAAAGTCTACTTCTGAAATATCTTAAAAACTAAATAAATTGACACAAAATTCTGTCAAAATTTCAGTTTTGGAAAATTGCAAGCAAAAAATGTTGTATCATTATGCACTCTAAAATAAATATTATATCGCGTAAAATTAAATACAACTGCCTCACGTACCCGTTATGATACCGTATCTAAATTGCGAAGTATATCTGTCCGTACTCCTATACGTAATAACGAAAATCTTGTGTTCGATCGTCGACAAATATCGGGTCATGCACAAGCAAGAAGTGTACGTCGAAGAAAAAGTAGAAGATGACGTCAAATGGGTGCCAAAGAAAAAGCACGAAGTCCTTAAAGCTAAATATAAGTGCTTGAAAAAGCTCTTCCAAATCTACGACGCTAGTGTTATCGGAATTCTGCCAGAAAATTACATGGAACCATACCCCGAAAAAAGACGCAAAAAGCGATCGAAGCGTACGAAAACTGATGCCATAGTTGGTACCGCTGAACTGTCAAACGGCGATACCGATTCGGGCTGTTCTGTGCCCGTAAAAGAAGTTCCATCCACGTTCAAAAAGGACGGATTCACCCAGGATTGTAAAGAAAACGTCTCAGTTCAAAGCGAGATAAAGCAATCTGTGGTCAATGTACCGTACAGGGAAATGCGAAAACCGACGCGATTCCAGTGCTTTTTGCAGCGAATTTTCGGCTTAAATCCTGATAGATTGAAAAGGGGATATGCTAGTGACAATGATATCATATGTTATGATAGACGCCGGCGTGGTATAAGGCTTAGAAGACGGCGAACGAAGCAGGCAAGGTCGGAAATGGTTTTGAACGATATGAAAAGTCCAGTTATTTTGTCGTATATTCAGAGTGTTCAGAGAAGTTGTTTGATGGAGTCTACGCCACGCCAATGTCCTATATCTGGGTGTAAAATGATGTTTTATGGTAAGTTAATAAGAACTTTTTTGAAGACATTTCCACTGCAGCCGATGCTACGTACCCTGTTGCATATTGAAATTTTTAAATAATGGAGCAAATTTCAGTCTACAGATATTGGTTTTGTTACTAACAGCTCTTTTATTTTGAAATTTGATTCGAAAAAAAGTTGAAAACGATTTACTATCGACAGCCCATTTACTAGTACAAAAATTTTATTTTACGCTTTTTATATGAAATATTGAAGCGATTTGGATATCGCACATGATACGTTACTATTATCTACTGCTACCTATCCTATCCATATTTAGTTTGAAAGTAGTTACAAAAAATCCTAGTCTTGTTAATTGTGGTTTAAGGAATAATAAACTACAACGACCACTTAAACCTCTGCCACTTTCCTGAACGCCAATATGTCTGTCACTACTGTCACGAGGGCTTCACCAGCGAGTGTGATAAATTGCAGCATGAGAACGAGCATCTAGGAATATCGAGGATTAATACTAGTGATGTATCCAGTGGATGGTAAGTGTTATTCACTGCCTTGACTATTATAGAAGAATGTAGTGAAGTAGACATAAGAATAAGATTTTAATTAAAAACATAGTATGATACCGTCAAAAGAAAAAAACTAGTAGCAACACTCAGATTTTGGTATCTGTTCGTGATCATGTATTTGATGGGAAAGTAGGTGATCTGATCAGCATTTGAGTCTAAGACATACCAGTTTCCTCTCGATGTTTTTCTCTACCGAATTTTGTATGTGCACACAGAAAGTACACAGCGTGCAGCAGCTCAGTGATGAGAATCGCACGCTGAAGCCACTAGGCCAGCACTGCTCACTCTTATATTTAGTTATTTCCTATTTTTACAGTAACTTAATACTAATAGAATAAAAAGATGTGGAAATCAACCGCTATTAATGCGAAAGATAAACATCTTTCGCATTAAATACGTTTTTTATACAACTATATATTGAAGTAATTTCAGGCAATCAAGGAAGATAGCCAGTGTGACTCAAACCGATCCCGAAGTCCAAGTACCCGAGGATAAATTAAAGAAAATCGTGTCATTCTTCGACAAAATCACCAATCCTGACGACTTTATAAATGAAATCAAGAAAAATCGACTCTCCGAATCGAATTTACAAACTATACCGGCAACTACAGTTTCGGAGCTCAGTAAATCAGAAACATTGAATCTGCAGAAGAAATCTGGTAAATCGTCGTTGGCTAACGAATCGGATCACACTGAAATATCACAGTGTACTTCCACACCACCAATAAGATGTCAGCTGTGTGGAGAACTGTTTGATAACAGGTACTGTAGTGTGGATAACTTAATACTGTTATTGAAGTGAGGTAAAAACGTGTACCTATAGTTAAGGTATAGGTAGACATAACTACATACCATCTCCAAATCACCGCATTAACAACCAAATTCTCATAGAAAGCTTAAAAAATAGTAGATATTATTATAATATTTAATTTCTATACTCATTTAGTCACAATTTTTAAAAAAAGTAGGTAATTGTTTGGTGCTGTGACGATTTTACAGGCACGAATTTAAGGGCGGCTATTTCGTATAGCGTCTTAAGGTGAATTGGAACTTACGTTGTAGTAACAATAGTTATCGTTCATGTTATGTTGCATATCTAATCTGAATGTGTCTTATATATGCGCTCACCGCTACAAAATTGCGTCAATTCCAGCCAATACTCTGAATTATGACGTAAACTACATCAAGTCAATACGGTGACGTCAGCAAGCATCAATACTGCTTTGCAAGACAATATTGACATATGGTAGCTTCATCAACTAGACAATACTGTTCATACAACGAGATTTTCAGTTTTGCTCGCTATGGACACATTGTTCTTTCGGCGTCAATTGTAGCACTTTTTTATCATTAACGTCAACAACACAAAAGAAAGAAATCAGGAAAGGCCATCGGCTGCGATGGTGTTTGGCAAAGAGGACAAAATTTTCTTATGCAAACAATTGATGAATATCATTCAATCCCCGCGCTACTCGCGCAAGACGCAACAGCATAACAAACAAGTGCAGAATGAGAGATCATCCAAAATTGGTGAATTCCCAAGGCCATTGTTGTGTATTCATCAATTCGTCTTGCGAATCATTGAGCGATATGAAATCTCTGGAGCAATTCGTTGGTCCAATATAGGTCCCGTAGTGGGTTTATTGCAATTAATGGAACCTGGACTAAAATTACCTCCAGATGGGTCGATTGTTTTGAAAATGAAATTATGCATTAAATGCCTTTTTTTATTATGACACCATATGTATACTTAACGTCAGTAACCTATATCGATCACAGAAGCAAACATAGTCTGAATTCCGTGATCAGAAAGATACGAGGCAGCTTGCGAAATTCAATCTTTCTACCTCGACGCCTGGCTGCCAAACACAAGGTTTTAAAGAATTTTCCTAATCTCGCACCACCTTTTGTGGATACAGGCGTAAGGCAATTTTGTTTTCTGTGCTTGACGTAAACCGTACCACTGAGAAAGTCACGCAAAACACCACAGCTGCCCTGGAATTATTAACGGTCACCCCAAAACTTTCTACCAACGATAGTCTGGTAATCCGATAATTACTCCAAAAGGTTTACATTAAAAACTAAATGTCATCCATAAGTGCTGATCCGATATTTAAATGTTGTAGGATTAGCGTAACATCAATAGAATAACAAATGTTGTAAGAAACGAAGATTCTATTTTCAATTAAGTTGAAGTAACAAAAAGGTGCGTATTGGTTCTTTATTAAGTAGGAAGCAACTCGAACTAAAACTATTTACGATTGTGTTTTTAAACAATAAATTATATTAACATGTTTTTTTTTATTTTTATTACTATGTTCGATATTTACATTCTTAGTTCCTCGAAAAATTCCGATCACAGAAGCAAAGATAGATGCTCTACTCTGACTAGACCTCGCTGAATTCCTTTAATCGGATGTGAGTGCAGATCTGCGATATGTTATAGGTCACTCTTTCCTCTCGACTCCTGGCTTCTCCACACCACAAGGCGTTCTACCAAGAAGTTTCTTAACGCGGACCACCTGTTTGAGGAAACAATCTGTAAAGGCATTTTTGTTTTCTATGTAGTTTCGGATAGCCATTAGTCCCGATACGTCCGCAAAACACTCGCTGTCCCCAGCATTGCAGGTGGCCATGGGCGGCGTTCGGCGGTAATATTTTTTTTCAAACCCAAAAAAAATTTAACAAAAATATGAAGATATTATTTAATTGTATCTATAGAAATATATTTTATTTACACCTTAATTAAATTATTACGTATCGTCATGAATTTTTTAAATCAATATATTTTAGGCAACCATATTAAATACTTTTTTTGTACCAATTAACAGTATGACGAAGACATACTGGTATAATTATTAATTTATGACGTTTCTTGAAAATTATAAATCCTTTAGATATACATTACTAATAGCTTATAGTATAAGAAGGTATTAACTCATAAAAAGGTAAAAATGAATAATAAACACCCAATGGAGAGTTTGTATTCAGGTCACCGATTCATGATTTTAATGGTAAAATAAAACAATGGATTGCAGAAATAATTTTATATAACAAAGCGCACTTTTATGTTTGCGTTATGCCTTAACTAGGCTACATATACTAGCTACATGATTAGCAAATATAACATTTGTTAGCTTTAACATTTGACCTTAAATCTATACGATTTACCCCTATTTATAAAAAATAAATCAGTCTGCACTGTTTCTAACAAATTGTGAAATCGATGTGATACAAAACTGATTTGTTTTTTATAATTAAGTTATTTATTGGTGAAGCTTTTCGCATAGCTTTATGCAATATTTACGGTAAAATTTGTTTTCATACAAATAAACGTAAACAATAATTTGAAGTGACCCGAGATTGTCATTGTTAGCTGATGTCCGTGACTGGCGTGGAGACTTCATGAATGTACGTAGCAAAATTTATTTCCCTAATATTGAGTACTTAAAATATACTGCTTTTGTGTCTCCAAAACCGTACAAATAGTTTGGAAGTAATGTGGCTTTCAATACGAAATTGAGGTCTTACGCCTTTAGTACACCTACGCAATCGCATGCGGCAACGAAACGACGAAAAAACTAAGTTGTATGGCAACGTTTCGCATGTGTTTTGTCTCGCTCTAATATATAGCTAGATGAAATAGTTGCGTCCTTGTCGGTATTGTTTCGCAAGTAACTGCAAAATGGCTGTTACACAGACGCAGACGTTTCGCTAGTGGAGTTTCGCATCGCAAGGCGTCACCACGCGTTCTGTCAGTGAGGACAGAATTTCGCACAATGAAAGCCGAAAATATTGAATTATTAATGAATTTGATTCGAAATTATCCCGAACTATATTTAGTTGGGCATGTTGATTACAAAAATGCATACAAAAAAGAGGTGGCATGGAGGAAAATTCAAGAAAAGACGGGAATAGATGGTAAGAAATTTATTGTTTACATTTTCGTTTTTAATTTTTAATTTCTTTTAAAATAGTAAACAAATTGAGATCTAACATTAAATGCTGCTAAGTCCGCCCTATGTCTATTCAGATGCATCGGTACGAATGCTCCTATAGATTCCGAAAATTGATTGTTTTCGAATGTGTGTGCACCTTCGTGAATCTGCAGTAAGTTATGCAAGCACAATGCAGCCTTAACAATTTTAATAGTATTATTTAAATATGTTTCTTAAGGCCTCAAGAATATTCTAAATTTTTTTGTTAATATGCCAAACGCACATCTACTACAACTCGTGCCCTACTTAATGATTTATTAAAATGTTTTTATCGTTGTCAGTCATTGCTGCATCTCAAGTGAAAGGTCTCATCATAAAGGTCTCTAATTTAAATCCTCCATCTCCAATGAATACATGTGGAGTAGGCTGTTGAAAACCTGGCAAAGGCTTAGGAGCTGGCAAACTCAGATCCCGTCCATTTTATAAAAGTTGATAAAATGATGAATTCTCAAATATTGTACCGTCGGAATCCTTACCATATGATCCGACATCTACGTATGTAAATTTGTAATGTGGATCAACTACAGCCAACAACACAGTAGAAAATCGTTTTTTATAGCAATAGAATAGTGAGCCGCTATGAGGTGGAGATTTAATAACAATATGCTTGCCGTCAACGCTTCCAAGGCAGTTAGGGAAACCCCATATTGTTTGAAATGCATCTGCTATTTCCAACCTTGATTTAGTAGATAGAACTGGGATGTACTCTGGTTGTGGTATCTTCCAAATTTGTTCACATACTTGTGTTACTATCTTTGAAACAGTACATTCACCCTAACGATAAGAGAAAGCTATTGTTGTGTATGTGTCACCAGTTCCTAAAAACCTGAAAATATTGTTATAGTTAAAACTCTGAAGGCTAAATGGAGAAATCAGGGAAGGGACACTTATAAAAAATATAAAACGGGCCAGCAAACAAACAGTGGACAAGCAGCGAAGAAACTTGCTAATTGGCAATGGGCTGATCAAATGTCGTTCACAGATTCTTCCATAAATTTAAGGCAAACCGAAAGTACACTGGAAACTAGCAGGATAATACCGGATACCAGTATTATATCAACAGAGAATGACAATGAAGATGTTACTGAAGCTGAACAAATTGTTAAACCCGAGCCAACTGAGACTAATCCAAGACATGAAGAAATATCCCGAAGACGACGACGTGTAAGCAACAACGATCCTGCTGACAAAATTATAAATTATTTGAATACTAGAAAAACGGGAACTTCAGGCACAAACACTGCAGAAAATCTTGTCAAAATAGCATGTGACAGAATCGACATGGAGTTTTTAGGTTATGCCAATACAGTCAAGAAGTTTTCTTTACATAAACAAGCTGTTATTAAACTTCAAATAACAAATATTATAACTCAGGCTCAACTGCAAGAACTTGATAATGGCCAGCCAAATTCTAATTTAAGTAATTCTTCATCCTGCAGTACTAGCAATCTTTACTACATTAATTAAGACTTGGTCATGTCAACCCCAATGCAATCTGCTGAACAGCCATCATATCATACAGATATTACACAAATGCACTCACCCAATACACAAACACACTCACCCATTACACAAATACATACGATCCCCACTATTGACAATACAGACTCCCAAAATATTTCAACAAGTGCACAAATACACATACCTAGTACACCAACACATTCGGTTCCGACTTTCATAAATACAAACTCAACCATTGCACAAATACACTCACCCAATATACAAACCCATTCGGTCTCGACTGTTAGCAATACAAACACCCAAGTACCAAAAAGACAGAGAACACGACAACTTAAAAATATAC